TAATGCATTAATTAAATGTGTGACTGAACTCCTTGGGAGAGAATTGTATGTCTCCTGCTCTGTTTTGCCCTGGCGGGGGGAGGGCAGCTCTAGCCCAGGGCCGGGGGTGGGACAGCCTAGGCCCCCTTTTGGCTCAGCCGCCCCAGGGGAAGGGCCAAGGACGTCCCCTCCACACATGGGGGCGCAGCCCCCAGCCCGCCAGGGAGCACACGGCCCTTTGCTTCCTTTGGGGACCACAACCTTTAACCCTGATGACACCAGCAGCTTGGGGGGTGGAGGGGGGAACCATATTGTGGGCAACAAACAAACCTTGGAACCCAGAACCCAATTCAAACCACGTCACCCCCCTGGGGTGGGGGGGGGGAGTGACCCCTCTGTGGGGGAATTACAAGCAAAAGGAACCAGGAAGGGGCAGGGGCTGGCTCCTCAGTGCCCCCCCCCACATCTGTGCCCCCGACGGCCTGGCCCCAGCACTGCCCCCCTCCCCCCCGGCTGTGCGTGGCCGACAGGCAGCGGGTGGAGGGGAGGGTTTGAAGCGGCCGGTCACACCGAGAGCAGTCTGGAGGAGCCTTGGGGGGGGGGGGTCAGGCCAAGGCGACGTGCGGGGGGGTCTGGCCAGGCCCCTTTAATCCTCCTCCTCCTCCTCGATCCGCAGGCGCTTCCTCTGGCGGGGGGGCCGTGTCCCCTCCCCGTCTGAGCTGGGGTCCGGCTGGGCTGGCGCTTCAGCTGAAAGGGAGAACAGACGAGGGACCTCAGGGCTGAGTCCCCCTCCCCCCTCCACCCCACATTCCCCTCAGGCCGCCCCCCCTCCAGCTGAGCTCCGCACTCAGCCTGTCAGCACTCCAGAGGCTACTCCCACCCCCCAGAGCAGGGGGCACCTGGGGCCCCACTTGGCTCTGCCCCAGGGATGGCCCCGGACAGCAGCTGCCACCAGTGCCCATCCCCTGTGTGTGTGTGGTGGGGGGGGCGGCTCTTGCACCCAGGGCCAGGCAGGCTGCAGGGAGGGGCAGAGGGAAGCGCTCGGAGACCTCGGCTTTTGGGGTCCTCGTCGTCGTCACTGTGGATCACACGGCTCCGCTTGGGGCCCAGCTGCGACTGGACAGGAGGGTCCCTGCAATGATGGGGGAAGGGATTAGGGGCAAACCCGGCACCCCCAACCCCCAGCTGCCCGCCCCAGCCCAGCCCCTTATGAACACTAGACCTCAATCCCCTGGATGGGACATCATTACCTGTTAGAGATGGGGAAACTGAGGCACGGAGGGGCAGGGACTTCCCAAGGCAGAAGGGAGTCAAAGGCAGGAGTCCTGGCTCCCAGTCCCACCACGCTCCAACCCATCAGGCCCCAGTCCCCCTCTCAGAGCCAGGGACAGAACCCAGGAGTCCTGTGTGGGCACAGAGCCTGGGTGGGGTTACTATTCCTGACTCTCACCTCTCCAGATCAGACCCTGGGGACGCTGGTGGCTGCTCCAGGCCAGGTGTTTCCTCCTCTGAAATGGAACAAGAAAGTGAGAGCAGAGAGAGAGAGAGAGAGAGAGAGAGAGAGAGAGAGAGAGAG